TATATATATATATATATATTTATGTATATTTGGACGTATTGTATGTGTGAGGGGCGAAGTGTGTGTGTGTGTGTGTGTAAGAGAGGTGCTGTGTGTGAGGGTGTTTTTATCTGCCGTCACATTCTAGGTTTCTAATTTTTTTGTCTGTTAACTCACTGAAGGTTATTTTATATTTTATGTATTATGTATGTGTATATATATATATATATATATATATATATATTTATATATATATATATATGTGTAGAAGTGTGTGTGTGTGTGTGTGTGTGCTGTATATGTGTGGGAGTGTGCTGTATGTGTGTGTCTGAGGGTGCTGTGTGTGTTTGAGGGTGCGTGTGTGTCTGGGGGTGCTGTGTGTGTCTTAGGGTGCTGTGTGTGTATATGAGGGTGCTGTGTGTGTGTCTGGGTACTGCGTGTATGTCTAGGTGCTGTGTGTGTCTGGGGGTGCTGTGTGTGTCTGGGTGTGCTGTGTGTGTGTCTGGGGGTGCTATGTTTGTGTCTGAGGGTGCTGTGTGTGTGTCTGGGTGCTGTGTGTGTCTGAGGGTGCTGTTTGGGTGCTGTGTGTGTCTAGGGGTGCTGTGTGTATCTGGGGGTGCTGTGTGTGAGAATTTTTTTTTTATTTAAATATATTTTTTATTAATAATTAAAAAAAAGTTATATCCCCTCTCCCTTCTTACCTTTAGCGTGGGAGGGGGAAGCTGGGTTTCCATGGGGGGTGCCATGCTGCCATGGTGGGTGCTGCCCACCGGCCCATGAAGGCACACAGCAGGGCTGGCGTTTGGGTAGCGCTGGCCCCACAGGGGCTGGCAGGGGAGATCCTGTGATCTCCCCTGTTGGCCTCGGCCCACGGCCATCGCGGCCCACCGGGCATTTGCCCGGTATGCCCGATTGCCAGTCCGGGCCTGCATGTGAGGCCCAAACTTACCAGCTAGTTTAAACACTTTATAACATTTGGATGGAAGGATGTAGCTTCACTGTGGGGCATTTGTGCAGGATGCAATATCTTATATAATAGAGATTCCTATGCCTCATTTTTGCAAGGTTGCTGTATTTCCTGTATGTGCTCATTATTTCTTGAGATAATAAAGATAATAAAGGCACTCTAAGCCCCACATCCACTACAGTTTAATGTAGTTGTTATTTTGCCATTAGACTATGGATAGCCGTCCTATCAGTTCCATCCAACCTCAATGAAGGAAGTGTAAACATTAGATCTCACTTTATAGGAAGTGTATAGGAATGCTGTGCTGTGCTGTGCTGTGCTTGGAGGTGTGACTGGGGCTGCATAAACAAAGTGATTTAACTTCCAAATAGCATAGAACTAAGCGCTGAGAAAGCAGGGGCATGCTCTATACCAGTGGTTACCAAACATTTTAAGTTCAAGGCGCCCTTAATATTTCAATATTTTTCCAAGGCATCCCAAGTCAAAACTAAATTCTAGGTTGTATAAATATACAGAGCTGCGGCATATACTGGACCCCGGCTCAGCAAAAATGTTTCCCTGTCAGGGGCAGATCCAGAAGCTACCTCTCCCCTCACCTCCATGTCCTTTAGTGTACCTTTCCCTTCCCTGTCCCTTAGTGTACTTATCTCCTCCCTATCCCTTAGTGTTTCTCTCCCCTCACCTCCCTTTCATGTCCCTTAGTGGTCCTCTCCCCTCCTAACTCTCCTCCCCTTGGTGTTTCTCTCCCTCCCTAACTCCCTCCCAACTTTCCTCCCTTTAGTGTCCCCCCTTCCTTAGTGATCCTCTCCCTTCCCTGGTGTGCCTCATTACCTCTCTTGTAGCGTGGCTACGCAGTTTTAGTTTCCTGTACCCAGTCATCCTGCATGCGCTGGGCCACTGCTGCCTCTCACATTATTTTCAATATCGGTATCAATAGTAGCCGATACAGATATCTGCCAAAATCCAGAATATCGGCCGAACCAATAATTGATCCATCCCTAGAGTGTATGGGGAGCAGTGTGCGTATGTGTGTGTGATGGGTACAGTGTGTGAGTGATGGGCTGTAGTTGTATGGGGGGCAGTGCGTGTATGTGTGTGTGATGGGTACAGTGTGTGAGTATGAGGGCAGTGTGCATATGTGTGAGTGGTACAGTGTGTGTGTGTGTGGGGGGGTGCTGTATGTGTGTGTGTGTGAGGGGGACAGTGTGTGTGTGTGTGTATTATGGTACTGTGTGCAAGGGGTACAGTGTGTATGTGTGTGTGTGATGGGTACAGTGTGTGTGTGTGTGAGGGGTACAGTCTGTGTGTATGGGGCAGTGTGTGTATGTGTGTGATAGGTACAGTGTGTAAGTGAGGGGGCAGTATGTGTGTATGTGAGGGGTACAGTGTGTGTGTGTTATCATGGTGGCAGTGTGTGTGTGTTTGTGTTTATGGGGGCATTGTGTGTGTGTGTATGGGGCAGTGTGTGTGTGTGTGTGATGGGTACAGTGTGTGAGGGTGGGCGGCAGTGTGTGTGTGTGTGTGTGTGAGATGGGTACAGTGTGTGAGTAAGGGGGGCAGTGTGTGTATAGGGTGAGTTATTATGACCTTATAGAATTATGCATTTTCACTCAGCCTTGATTTAATATGGTTGAATCATTTTCCAAATGATTTATTACTTTTAGACAAACTTTTAAAATGATTAAATAGTATGAAAAATATTGGAATTTTATAAAATTTTAATTCTGTAACTTTTTATATTTAATTTCTCTTTATTGAAATAATTTTACATTTATATATAGATGAAATTACTTTAGTTGACACTAATATAAAAGAGCATTTATTTAACACATAACATGACTTACTAAACTTACCTAACATACATGTAACGGCACTCCCAGACATAAAAGGGTTAAACCGCCGTTTAGTAGATCTTCCCTTCCAGAGACACAGGCACAGCTACTGCAGAACACCAATCCACCGAACAGGAAACCATATGAATGCCGTAAACAGCCGAATAGGAAAAACCATACGAATAGGTTTACACTCCTAGCAGTCAAACTGGAACAGCATACCATAAATCCCCCCAAGAACGAGACAAAGCTCCGTGTTGAGGGTCAAGCAGTGAACAGCCAGAGCTGTGGGTTTATTGTGCTTATATACACATTCTTACACATTAGTACCACCCACAGGGTTTTGGCACACAACCAATAAACACATACAATACACTCAGACACTCCCACACAAAATCCTCCCCTTTGCCTGTGATACAATTACCTTACACAACAGGTAATGTAATTATAACAAGCAGAGAAATACAATTTTTCCATATTATTCATAACTTGAAAAGTATGCATAACATTCACATAAAATCAGCATACTCCAAATACAAACATACGTCAAATTCATACAAATTGGTCCAATGGTTCAAAAGATAAATCGTAGTCCTTTGTGACCAAAGGAAGCATGGCTTTTCTGCCCAAAACCAGTTCCACAGAGTCTTCTATCCTGGAGATAATTGTGAAGTAATCCAATTATCTCCAAAGACAGAGGCAAAACTCCATTGAACACATGGCAGCAAAAGACAATAAAACACATAATAACATATAACTGCGCAGCCATTGCACAAAACAAGTACATTCAACATATCCCCAGATAGCTCAGATCTGAGCACACATTATTACTGAATGGCGCTCAGAGCACACACATACAGTTCAATTGCCATGGAGCAAAAGTCTTTCCCATAGTCTTTCATTATACGAATGGGCTCCATGGCACAGCTATCTGGGGTATCACCGCTCAAACAGGGCAAGCACCTGTCTTTGCAGGGGATAATCAAGCCTTTTAACATGGGGCCATAATCCAAAGGCAACAAGCGAGCAACCAGGCTTCTCCAATGCAATGTGGTGAGATTGGTCTCGTCACATCTCTCCACTTTTCCAAACAGGCTAACAGGGTATCTGACCTTCTGCCAGTCAGTGCCCTTGTTAGTCCAGCAGCCCACCCACAACACACAAACAGTAATACAGCCCACCCACAATAAATGGTTACTACACCTGGGTAGAGGAGAACTTTGTCCATGTCCAGGTGCCTCACCACGGCTGTGTGGGTGACTGGTAAGCTGACTTGGTGGGTTGCTGAGTGGGCAGAGACCAGCGGTACTCTGCCCTGGTGCCAGCGCTACCACGGGAGTAGCCTGGTTGAAGCCTGGTTGTTGGAGGGGGAGACTGACTGTCTCCCCTTTGGTTACACCGCTCGGTTGCTGGAGGGAGAGACCGACTGTCTCCCCTTTGGCTAAACAGTCCTGTCGCTGGGGGGCAGAACCGACCGTCCCTACCCCCTGTGCTGTAAGTGCAGGTCCCATCTGCACGGTTGTGGGGTTTACTGTCCCCCCCGGTACGTTAAGCTGCCGCTGGGGAGAGGGGGTAACAAGCTCCTCTCCCATATATACTTCCAGCCGCGGGGAGGGAGACCGACTGTCTCTGCTCCCAATACAGAGTCCTGCTGCTGGGGAAAGGAGACTGGGCTCTCTATTCCCTGTAGGACATTCTGCCGCTGGGGAATGGAGACTGGGCTCCCAATTCCCTGCTGTATCTCCCGCTGGGGAATGGAGACTGGGCTACCAATTCCCAATAACTCAGCTTGCCGCTGGGGAATGGA